AACTAACCTTTACTTTGGCAAGATTCTGTCGAAGGGTGAAGAACAATAAAGAAAACCTGGAAGAATCACACCATGTCTGTCTTGGTTTTTGGAGCCTGACAAAAACTGACCTTTCGCTTAATCTACGATTTAGATGTAAGAATAAAAATCTATTAAGTGAAACCAGAAGCAAAAACCTTTTAATTCTTTTCAGCAAGAACTTGTTGGAACACATTCAAATCTGGCAGTTGTTCACATAATGCTCAATGTCCCTGCACCCTTTTTTATGCAAGTTCTCCAGGTGTAAATTCAATAACAGCATCTTTTGAAGGTAATAAACCGAACTAATTCAGTAATACATCTAAGCAGCACCTTTCTGAAACGGCTTCCCAAACCACCTTTTTACAAATTAAAATGTGTCGTGCGTTCCGAGTATTCACGGGCAAGTGGAATGCAGTAAACACGCTGCCTCAGTTCCTCCCTCTTTCCCTTTTCTTCAAGAGGGACATAAAAAAAAATATTAAATGCTAAAATTGCACCTGCTTGGAAACATGCAATCAGAGGAATTATAAATCTCTGTAGACTTGGTGGAATTCCTTTTTACTTCAAACGCAACACCTTAATTGCTCAGTTTGCAACTGTATTTCCACCTTCGTAACCTGCAAAGATTTGCACTGTTTTTCAAATTTCATTAAAAAGCATCTCACTGATTTGGGGAGGAAAAAAGCAGCTCTCCTTGTAAAAGAAGAAATTCGTTGGTGTATCCAGATCTGCTTATTGACTTGGCAACGTCAAGTCTCAATTTCTGTTGCCAATTTTCTGATTTCTTTCTTGGAAATGTCTTTGCATTCCCCCATCTCTGTTTTAGAATAGAGTAGACTAGAGTAGACTAGAGTAGAAGCTGGAAGGGACCTTGGAGGTCTTCTAATCCAGCCCCCTGCTCAAGCAGGAGAATAACCTATATACCGTCTCAGACAAGCGACTGTCCAGTCTCTTCTTAAAAACCTCCAGCGATGGAGCACCCACGATTTCTGGAGGCAAGCTGTTCCACTGGTTAATCACTGTCAGGAAGTTTCTCCTTAATTCCAGGTTGCTTCTCTCTTTGATCAGTTTCCATCCGTTGCTTCTTGTCCTGCCTTCTGGTGCTTTGGAGAATAAGTTGACCCCTCCTCTTCTTTGTGGCATCCCCTTAATATCTAAATCTGCTATTATGATACCTGCTAGTCCTTCTTTTCATTTTCAACTGCTGACCCCAAATTAATGGATCTACTTTCATATCCCATCCGTTTCTTTAATTTTAATAAATATATCCCCAAAGACTATGCCCATGTATTAAAAAAACAAGCCTCATAAAATGTGGGTCTGAGTTTATTCCAAAGAAGCAGGTATAAAGGTGTAGGGTTTCAGATTAATTGTACAGCCTGTCTCTTCACTATCCCAGTTCTAATAAACTCACTGCAGCCTTATTTATTGCCAGTGTTCATTAGCTCAGTTTCAATACAAATCCATATAGCTTTCTTTAATTAATTTCATTCCAAATTCGATTTTAATTCCGTTTGCTAATAGCTTCTGTAAGACTACCCAACACGTTTCAGCATCCTGCGGTACCAGCCAATGTGAATTCCAATAAATTGGGTAAATCTAGTTCATTAAATCCAGGCAGTTCGTTATATCTAATTCAACATGATCGATCGAGTTCCATTTGGTACATTTCATTCCAAGTTTTAAATTAGTTCAGTTTGTTAGTGTCTTCTAATAAATCTTATCTTCCATGTTTACCTCTTCAAAGTTCAGCCTCTGAATTTTTTCCAACTTTGCCATTTGAAATATTTCAGTTAATGCGCGTCTAGGAGTTCCTCTAGCTTTAGATTTTTTTTCTCCTGGTTGATATTAACCTAACACACTGATCCTTGAAAATACCATGCAATTGGATCCATTGGGTTTTTTCTTTTTCTTTTTAACATTATAGGCTGGATCTAGCTCATTGTTGAATTCGGTGAATGAATTCGGCGATTCCTTTGCTGATTTCTGTCCACATGTCAAATTAGACCTGTTCTGTTCAATAGAATTGTCCTGTAAATGTGTAGTCCAGTGGAGAGATGAACAGAAGATAGCAATTGGATAGATGATAGAAGATGGATATAAATAGATAGACAAAGAGACAGACAGACTGAGACAGATCGATCCTGTAGGATTGAAAAATATATAAAGAACATCTTTATATTATCTATCTATGTATCTTTTATCATCTATCAATCTACCTACATATCTACCTATCTACCTATCTATCTTTCATCATCATCATCTATTTCTATAGATTATAATCATAATCTATCTCTAGCTATCTTGCTATTTTCTATCATCTATATCTCTCTATCATCTATCTATTATATCTATCTGTCTATCTATCATCATCATCATAATCTATTTCTATAGATTATAATCATAATCTATCTTTAGCTATCTTTCTATCTTCTATATCTATCTATCTATCTATCTATCTATCTATCTATCTATCTATCTATCTATCTATCTATCTATCTATCTATCTATCTATCTATCGCAAGGGTAAGAATGATGACCCTTTTATGACTTGTGGACTTCCAACTCCCAGAATTCCTGAACCATCCATGATCTAACCTTTGATCTAAAGAGGCCTCTTTGCATAGTCTACACCTATCCATCCATCCATCCATCCATCCATCCATCCATCTCCAGAAAATCATCCCTCCAATAAAGGGTTGAAATTAGGTGTCTTTGCTGCTCTGTGAGCTTGGTGGTTTTCTTCCAGATGTTTCACATTAGCACTGATGATGTTACCTAGTTTGGTAATGAAATGTCTGCAAGAAAACCACCCAGTTCAGAGAGCACCAAGGATCTTCCATCCTCTTCCTCCCTCCCTCCCTCCCTCCCCAGAGGATCAGCTCTAGGGGGCTTCCAGGGCACCCTGGCTTCTTTTTGGATCATGCCAGGCGCTAACGCCAATCTTGTGGACCATCACCAAATGAGAAAGCTGGGTGACCCCTTCTGAAAAGCCTTTCGCTGAAACACAACCTGTTTTCTGAGGATTTTTCTTCTCCTCTTAAATTACATTTTTTCAAGGCAGGGGGAGAGAGAGGGTGGTTCAGCCCAGACGGTGTTAAATATCTCTTAAGATGCTTTGAAATGCCTTCTCTAAATATCCATTTTTTTCTCTCTAACTCTACCACGGAGCGTGTAGTCTTTTCTCTCTTTTTTTTTTGCACTGCTCTCTCCTCTCCCAATCAGACCTGTCAGGTCAATAATTTATCTTTTATCTTAAACTGAGAGCAGGGTTCTTCCTGTGCCGGACTGCCAAAATTACCTCTATTATAACATTATTTGTACGGGTGTCTTCTCTCTGCGCCCCCCCCCCCCCCCCCCCCNCCCCCCCCCCCCCCGGTCTCTTTTCATTAAGAAGCTTTTCAGCACGTGCCCGTGTTGGCTCTGGTTTTAGAAGCAGCTGGGCTAAAAATAAGAGTGCGACAGGCCTCAAGGAGAGCTTAGCGTGGAAGCTAAATTTGCTGCCGAATGAGCGCTCTGATTGGAGACACCAGCTTGGAGATTTATTAAACTGAAGCAGGCGTTTGTTTTGCTGTCTTCCAAACCTCGCGGCGGCATCCGCCCAACCTGTTTGGGTTTGCGACTGCTCTAGGCAGGCAGGGAAAGAGAAACTGGACCAGTTTAAGTGGACAATCACTTAAACAGCAGCCAGCCGTGTGCGGCAGCTGCCAAAAGAGCCAACACAGTGCTAGGCTGCATTAACAGAGGAATAGAATCAAGATCACGTGAAGTGTTAATACCACTTTACAATGCCTTGGTAAGGACACACTTGGAATACGGCATCCAGTTTTGGTCACCACGATGTAAAAAAGAGGTTGAGACTCTAGAAAGAGTGCAGAGAAGAGCAACAAAGAGGATCAGGGGACTGGAGGCTAAAACATATAAGGAACGGTTGCTGGAATTGGGTAGGTCTGGTTTAATGAAGAGAAGGAGGAGGGGGGACATGATAGCAGTGTTCCAATCTCTCAGGGGCTGCCCCAAAGAAGAGGGAGTCAAGCCATTCTCCAAAGCGCCTGAGGGCAGGACAAGAAGCAACGGGTGGAAACTAAGCAAGGAGAGAAGCAACCTGGAACTAAGGAGAAACTTCCTGACCGTGAGAACAATTGACCAGTGGAACAACCTGCCTCCAGAAGCTGTGGATGCTCCAACACTGGAAGTTTTTAAGAAGAGACTGGACAGCTATTTGTCCGAAATGGTATAGGGTTTCCTGCCTGAGCAGGGGGTTGGACTAGATGACCTCCAAGGTACCTTCCATCATCATCATCATCATCATCATCATCATCATCATCATCATCATCATCATCATCATCATCATCATTATTATAGTTGGGCTGCAGGAAAGGGTGCAAACAACCAGACCCACACGTGTGAGAGTTCAAACGACCCAGAAGTAGTCCTCGGCTTACCACAGTTCATTTAGTGACCGTTCAAAGTTACAATGCCCCCCCCAAAAAGTGAGTTAGGAAACTTGGAGGTTTCTAGTCTAACCCCCTGCTCAAGGCAGGAGACCTTATACCATCTCAGTCAAATGGACATCCAGTCTATTTTTGAGATGTTGCAGCCATGCTCAGGGAGAAGGGGAAAAAATCAGTTAGGACAGAGACTACCATAGAAAACATCAATAGTATTTATTCGTTTGAGCACAGCATGTTACCTGACCAAAAGGACTGTGGTGCTGTTTTGAAAGCCCAAGTTTAGGTATTAAAAAGCTCTTTGAACCCATTTACAGCTTAGCCTGTTGGTGTTAACTACAACAATTCTCCAGATTTTAATACGCTGTGTGGACCCATCTACACTTTAGCGCGATGTGTGAACCATTACCAACAAATGTCCAGGTTTTCACAGGCGGTGTGGGCCCATCTATAGCTTAGCACGATGTGTGAACCATTAGCAACAGTTCTCCAGGTTTTAACAACTGTATGGACTCAACTACAGCTTACGGGTAGTGTGTGAACCATTACCAACAATTCTCCAAGTTTCCGCAGGCTGTGTGGACCCATCTCCAGCTTAGCCTGATGTGTGAACGACCACCACCAACAGGCTGTGTGAACCCATCTATAATTTAGCGTGATGTGGGAACTAGCACCAACCATTCTCCAGGTTTTCACAGGCTGTGTAGATACCCATCTACAGCTTAGCATGAAGGCAGAACGCCACCAATAATTCTTCAGTCTTTCCAGCTTCTGCTCCAAGTGGCAAGGAATTGAGTCAACAAACTTCCGCAGGCAACACAGATGTTCTTCTGTTGAGCTACATCACTCCGTTTCTTGACCCTCTGGTAATTGGATTTGATATTCCCAAGATGCAAATTTCACACTAAGCTAAACAGGACAGCGATCAATTGCCCACAGCCTGTTTTTAATAATTATACTGGGTAATTATAGACCACTGTTGATTACAGCTACGTATGAAGTAATCAAATCATTCAATGTTTTAATGTCAAAAGCTTCTATTTGGGCATTTTTCTGCTCCATCGGTTCTGCTTTAAGAGAAGAATTATGGACTTGGGGGAAAAAAAATAACAAAGAACTTCAGGATAAATGCACGGGGAACAAAACCTCTAAAGATACTAACCTGGGACCAATTATACTCGGATTTTCTGCTCTGTCCTTTTTCATGACAAAGAAAGGCAAAATATAGCACCCACTGGGACAGTAAAACCAGACTAAATTAAAATATATTAATGGACTGAATTCCATTGTCACAAAATTGCTGCTTTTAGTTTAGGTACTCTGCCTCCAAGATAGGTACGGTTGCTTTTAGAGGAACACAAAAAATGCAGGCTAGAAAGGATTTCAATCTCACCAAGAATGGTGGACCAAAATCTACAGGTAGCCCTTGACTTACAACTGTCCATTTAGTGACCATTGAAAATTACAATGGTACTCAAAGTAGTGACTTATGACCATTTTTTTACACTTATGACCACTGCAGCATCCCCATGGTCACGTTATCAAAATTCAGATGCTTGGCAACTATCCACAGGTCTTAAAGTTGCCAAGCTTGGATGTAAAGCTACTGTATTTTAGCAAATAACATTTCATGCTCTCTGGGGAATTCTGGGAGTTGGTCTTAAGGTTGGACACCACTGGTTGAGGCCAACACAACAAGTCAAAGGAGCTCTTGTTTGATAACCACCAGGCAACTGTGAGAACAATCAACCAAAGGAACAGATTGCCTTCAGAAGTTGTGGGAGCTTCATCATTGGAAGCTTTCAAGAAGAGACTGGACTTGTCAACCATTTGTCTGAAATGGTGTAGGGTCTCCTGCTTGGGGGCGGGGTTGGACTAGATGACCTACAAGGTACCTTCCAACTACTCTACTCTACTCTATTCCCCATTCCCCATTCCCCATTCCCTATACCTATTCTATTCTATTCTATTCTATTCTA